ATATTGTTCCACCACTTCAAAAAATTCAAGAAAATTCCTGAGTGTAGAGGAGTATAAAAGACATTTTCTGAAAAATTTTGGTGACTGACATATTTCAAAAAAGCTAAAAAAAAAAAATTTAATTTTCTCTCGTCGGTCAAAAATCGGCTTTTCGTTAAAATATTATGATCATATTTTTTGTTCATGTCTTAGACTCCTAAGAACTAAAAAAAAAATCATCATTGATTAGTTTTGAATTTTACTATAAAAAAAAAAATAAAATCGAAAAAAACAGGTTTTTTTGAAAATTTCGAGAACCGTTTGAGTAAAAGAGTTAAAATTTGGGGTCAATTATTTTTATTCGACACCAAATCGATCCCCCAAGTGCGAGTCAAAAAAGCCACGGGGGCAAATTTCCCATACTTATCCGGCTATACCCTTTAATTTTAAATATAATTTATTAAATTTAACACATTTTTTTTCTGAAATTGTTTACTTGTACTTGTTATCAATCCGGTTGATAGCCATGGTTTTAAGAATTTGTAAACTATACTTTTTTGTATGTTCCTGGGATTCTTTATTAGTACCTTTGGTTAAAATATATGTTTATATTGATTTTAAATAATAACAAATGTAATATTTACTTTTAACATGTAATAGACAATAAAAATGGATTATTTCTTAATTATAATTTATCGTTAAGTGAAATGGCTGAAAATAAAATAACATTAATTACAAAATTTTAATTTATAAATTTAAAAACAATCATTTAACTCATCGTGATACGTTTAGTAATAAGAATAGAGGCTAAAAAATATTTTAACGTTGCTCTCATCTTCTAATCATTTACCTCAATATCTTCTGGATGAAGTAAAATTACCGTTGAGATAAAAAACGCCCATATTTTGTAAATTGGATAATATTCCTTGTCCGTTTTACAAACAAGTTCAAAAATGTTATCTAAAGTGTGAAAAAAATATCTTTTTTAAATGAGGATTACTACATCGTATAGGAATTACAATAGAAAAATAATTTTTTAGGAGAAAATTTTTACTTTTTGTAAAAATTACCTCTTTTAACTTGAAAATAAAGCAAATTTCCTATAATGGGATATGCTTTTGGTCCCGGAAGTGCTTCAACGATTTTTGTTACTCTTCGGTATTTTATAGAGCAGTGTAATAAAAATAATAATGAAACCAATCCCAAGAAGACCGTGAAAAACATTACGTCTGTTGAATAAAAGATATTAATAGATGTAACCTATTTAAATTATTTATGTAATCGTATTCAGAGATGATACAAGAAAAACAAATAAGTACAATGGTACAACCCAATTAAAAAGTATATTTATCTCACTGATCAAATGTACGACGTAGTTAGATTAAAAAATAATTAAATATAAACACTTATTTATTTAATTGACGGCAATGGAATATTAAATTGCAATCCAAGCGACGCAACTAAGAAGAGCTCACCTTTCAAATTATATAAGTTTTGGAATATTATCTTTGAAAGGAATGACTCTACAGATCTGTCTGCTAGGTCAGTCGCTAAAGAACTGAGAGGTCGTTTTCATAATCCTCAACATGAGCATGATTAGTGGACCGCATTTAATGATAAGTACTAGATTACAATATTTTTAAAAACTATCTAACAAGACAACATTATTTAAACTTTTTAAAAATGCACAGTGGCGTATTAAGCGGTTGCGTATCACTTTGAAATATCAAAGAGCCCTGAAACGATCTCGAGGTTTTCCCGAATTTCCTTTTATAATGGGTCTTAGAAAATTACCTTTTTCTACAAAATTTAGTTATTGTATTATGATATAATTTTTTTATTCATTTTTCTATTTTTTTAATATTTTAATAAGAGTTTTATGAAATTTATTTTCTAACTTCAGTTTAAAAGAGCCTGAAATTTTCACAGTTTGAGAACTTTTATTGCTGCAAATACAGATTACATGATGTCCAAATTAAAATGTAGAACAGAAATTAATATCTTTTCCTAACATTTTTATCTCAAGCTGATAATGTAGAAACCAAACATGACTACTTAAAATTTTTCGAATGATGTTTTACGTGTAACGTAATTATTTTCATTAATTGAAGAATATTATTTTTAATCAATTTTCGTTTTTATCAATGATAATTATATCATAAACTAATAAAAATTGGGTAACTAAAATAAATACATTTACTATTATCAGTAAGTGTATTTATTTTATTAATTTACACACTGGTAAATAAACTAAAAGAAGGGTAGAGAGTCAAAGCTTCCATTAATATAATTATATATATATATATATCTATAAGTCGGAATTTATTTATATATTTCGGGTTTTAAATTTTCTTAATCAACTTGCATCAGCAAGCGAAATCATTTGGGAGCTTAAACATTAATCGACTGTGAAAGTTTCTTACTAGTTTTGCATATTTAGGGCTGCAGATCAAATAAATTAATGAATGAAAGAAAACGACTATATTGGAATGATATTTTATTATAAAGAGAATTGCATAGGTCATTTGTCGGGCTGAATAATCTATAAAATTTTCTGAAGGGAGAGTGGGAATTTAATAGTTGAAAGAATTTTTTCTTAAGAAAGTTTTTTTACGAGATTTGAAGGTCAACTTTATTTTTTTAAATGAAATAATTTATATTGGTTACCGTTTTGCACTAGCCGACATTAAAACAATTTAAACACACATTAGTGAAGGTCGTTCAAAGTCAGTTGTGAAGGTAGTATTTCATTCATTCATTAGTTTTTACATTGCAGATAATATTCGAGATTACAGCCACTTATGTTTATTCAAAGTTACAATTTTCATACCGTTAAAAGGCCTACTTATTTTATCATTTGCTGATATCTTAATAATAGCAATTTTAGCGATATGAATAAAACACGGTTGCACCACACAAAGCATTATTAGTAATAATTTTAATCTATTTATAACTATGAAATAGAAAAAAATAATTAATAATTATTTACATTATTACCCAGTGAACACAATTACGTCAAAATGACGTCAAAATGATATTGCGCTATGTCAGGATTTACGTAAGATATAAGTCAGATATGAGTCACATGTAAATCATTATTTCACACTTATTGACGTAAGACTTTTACGTAATAAATATGACAAAAAAAAAACAAAAAAGCAATGATGTCATACATATGTCTAGTATACTATATTACTAGTATATGACGTATAAATTTTTTTTCCCGGGATTTGAACTCAGGAACAGTACACATGAAAGATTGTCTCTGAATATCTTTTGAACGATTAATTTAATCGCCAAAACATAAGACACCATTTTTATAGAGCAGTTAATTTCCTACAAAAATTTGTATTGTGCACTTTTTAATAGTCATTTATTGNTTTTTGATGAAATATACTTCAAATATTGTTATAATTTGTTTATATAGGAAATATTAATAAAAAATAAAAAGTACTACAATTTTATTAAATAATTTTACATATGTTTTATGAGTAAACAATAAAATTGCTGATAGTTGACTTAAACTACACAATATTTATGTGGGAATATATATATTTTTAATTTTATGACTTGCTTATTTAATATTGAAAGTACAATTGAAAATAACTAGTATTGTTAAACCAAAAAGTTGTTATAAAGAATTTTTTTTTGTTACGGAATTCCCAGCAAGAAAAAATAAAAGTAAAGTCTATTGCTGTGTATTTGGTTGTACAAACGTAGCTTGTTGTGATGAAAAAATTAGGTCTTTTACCTTCACGTAAGTATTTTCAACAATTATTTTTTCTGGTTATTATAAATTGTTAAATCAATAAATTTACTTATGCCTATATTGTTTTTGTGTATTGTTATAGCTATTGATTCACCTCGAACTTATTTAAAAAAAACAAGTATTCCTAGTCAAAATCTTCCTTTAGGATCATTCAAAGAATGTGCTTGTCCAGTAGATCAAATAGATTCTCGAGAAGAAAGAATACGTAGAAGATTAATTAAATTAGTGGCAGTTAATGATATTGCAATACTGCAACAACATATTTACAAATACCACTTAAACCAGCCTTGTATGAACAACTCATTCCAATTATTCGCCCATTTTTTAATATTCCACCAGTTATTTCATGTGGATTTCCTTTAATATGTGAAGTTTGTAAACAAAAAGCTAAAATACTTGTAATATTACAATCACGAGTTGGTACTTGCCCACACTTAATCACTTGTGCAGCATTTAATACACTTTCGCTACCAACAAAATTTTTATTGCTTGGATTTGTAATATGTTTATCTAATATACACATACACATACATATACAATATGCGTATATATTATATTGTATGTATACTTCGCGTTCGTACTACCCTCCTGAACACTATATGTACGCATTAGAAATGTAAATTAAAAAATAGACAAGTACTTTAATAAATAAAACATTCATTTAATAAATAATATTTATTATTTGATTAATATTAATTTTAAAGTAGAGTTCATTTTACGAAGCAAACAACATAATATAAAAATTATATATATTTATTATTTTTATTACTTTTTTATGAATATGAACTACCAGATTTGTACGGCATTGATTTTTTATAGACGATTCCATTAAATAGAAATAAACTATTAAAACGCCGTACAAAAAAATGTCGTACTCAATATCACCCAAAAGTACATATTTTACATCGATTTTTCGGAAATTTTCCTTCTACAGACCCTTTGACCAAAAATAATTTACGGCATGTGGAAAAATGTTATCTATGCAAGAAATACTTTCAAAATAAATTAATTTTATGTAGTATCAGATCATCCCCCAGACCCGTGGAAAAAGGTGGATTTTAACCGTGGATTTTTCTCCCTTGTTGTATGATTTTTGCACGGCGTTGCGGAATAATCAATTAGAATAGGTATTTAAATTGTATGAAACAAACGCCGTTCATAATCAAATGATCTAATAGACCCGGGGTTTTGTCAGAAAATCAAAAATTTTTTCCGACTTTGTGGCCTACTATTTTTTAACGGCACTACGTGTTTTCTCATTATTTTCGATGGATCTATAGGTGGTAAGAATGCCATAAGAAATTATTTGATAAAAAAGCACCCGGTTATTTTGTGCTTTTTAATTCTCACCTGCACTCAGTTGGACAGCTTACAAGTCACGGCATAGTGCTAAAAATTATTATTTTATGCCYYTCTATCGTCYAATAYAGGTTTCCTGCGGGATCATATGACCCATCGATTTTTTAGGTCGGGCCTGTAGTCTATATGGGATAGAGCAAAAATCGAAGACCTCATAAAAGCATGCCAGATCGAGAATATCAACGACTGGATATTAAGCAGAAAAGTTGTGTGGAATGACCACATCACGCGCATGACATATGACCGAATGGTAAAAATATACCGAGATAAGTCACCATCGGAGAGACGAAGCGTTGGAAGACCTCGAAAGCGCTGGAGCGACAGTCTGATTATATAATGTGAGTCGCGATGAAGAACAGGCATTGTGCCTACTTGAAAGAAAGAAGAAGAAGATAATTATTTATGTGTAAAAAAATATTCTTTTTCACTTAGCGCATATTGCATTTAACGTATGTTCGGTCATAAATTCCTCTAGATTCTGAATTATTGAATTTCCCTTTCCATGTTCTTTCACTAATGATACAAGATACTGCGCCTCATTATTTAAAGTAACTATGAAATGTTTAAGAATATTAAAGTGAAAGGGTGGAGTTAACATTTTTCTTCGATGTTGCCATTTGGCTCCTGTTGAGTCAAAGGGTATAACCGGATAAGTATGGGAAATTTGCCCCCGTGACTTTTTTGACTCGCACTTGGGGGATCGATTTGGTGTCGAATAAAAATAATTCACCCCAAATTTTAGCTCTTTTACTCAAACGGTTCTCGAGATTTTCAAAAAAACCTGTTTTTCGATTTTTTTTTTTTTTATAGTAAAATTCAACACTAATCAATGATGATTTTTTTTCTAGTTCTTAGGAGTCTAAGACATGAACAAAAAGTATGATCATAATATTTTAACGAAAAGCCGATTTTTGACGGACGAAAGAAAATTAAATTTTTTTTTTTTTAGCTTTTTTAAAATATGTCAGTCACCAAAATTTTTCAGAAAATGTTTTTTATACTCCTCTACACTCAGGAATTTTCTTGAATTTTTTGAAGTGGTGGAACAATATGAAAAAAATTAAAAACTCATTTTTTTCTAAAATCCCAAGTTTTAACTAATTTATATTTTTTTTTCAGTTAAAAAAAAATGTGAAAAATCATTTTTTTACTCAAAATACACAATAACATTACTTATCAAACATTTTCAATCATTTGGTTTCACAATGATTACGTAAAAACTATTTTTTTTTAATACGTTCCGAGATGACGCATTTCAACGCTATATACCGGGATTTTCACTAATCAGCAATCATTTTTTCTAAAGTTTCGCTTTAAAGTTTTCTTTATTTTGCTTTGTTGTTTGCTTACAGTTGTAGCATTACAACCACTTGAATAAATAAATTTTTTCATTGAATCTGTCTGTATATTTCTCAATTCCCTATACTGTAGAAAAAA